AACCTCTCCTCTAGGAGATGGATTTATTTTTTGCTTTAACTGTTTGGGAGGATTGAAAGAGAAAACTTCATCTCTCTAGAACCAAGATGGCGGCCAGGCTTAGATTAGCTAATCTGCATCTGGATGAATGAAGAGTTAATGTCCTCTGGACCGATGAGACCAAAGTAGAGATTTTGGACCAGGGTGGACAGATCCATGGGGTGATGATCTGGGCTTTTACCTGGAGAGCTGATAACGATGCGTTCAAAGTTCTTTTTCCCTGTCGTTTCTCCTCAGACCCAACAGCTACACCCAACCAGCCTCCCAGTCATACCACAGATCCCACAGGGAGCCTTCGCCTGAGGAAGAACCAGAGGAAGAACCCGAGGAGGACCCTGAGGAAGACCAATCCTACATGGAGGAGGAAGAGGAGGAGGAAGTGGAAGAAAGAGGTTATCACACAAACTACTCCCCCTCGCCTCCCCAACAGCAGCAGTACAGCCCGCTGCAGCAAGGGGGGTACGAGTCAGAAGAATACGAGCCAGAACCAGAACCTAGCCCCCCTCCTCCTCCTCCTCCTCGGAAAGAGATCCGCCACAGCAAACCCAGCAAAGAACCCGGCAAGAACCATCACCACGGCGACAGAAACAGAGAGGAAGAGCTGTGGCAGCGGAGCGCTCACACGAGCGGCGATCGAGGAGGAAAGAAACGGAGCGCGGACCGGGAACGGCCCAAGAGTCCGGTCCAGAAGAAGCACAGCAAGAAGTCCTCATCACACGAAAGCAAGAAGGAGGAGAAGAAGAAAGGAGGAGATGAAGGTGAGTCTGACGATCAGAACTTCGCATTAACCATCGGTTCCGATCTCAGAACCTAGTCTGTGTCAAACAGACGTCAGGTTTCTGCAGAGAAGAGTCGATTTCCTGACATCCTGTCCCAGATTATCATCAAGTTAGATTCAGCGTCTCTGCTGACAGGAAGTAAGCAAAACGTTTCCTGATGATGGCTGACTCAGCACTTCTCTGGGTCGCTGCTCGCCGGCGGCTGGAATCCGTTTCCAGACGAAGCAGAAACCAGCATGTGGGTCTGGATGGTTTTACTATGAGATCCATCAATAAATCTCCTTTTTTTATTCAACATCTCCTAAAATAAGCAAATCTCTGCTACATATCGATAAAGGAAATAAAAGAAATCAGTTTTAATACTAATAGTGTTTTTTTTTTAGATTTTTATGTTAAAACTGAACCTGTTTGATTCAAAATAAGAAAGATCTTTATAAATTTAAGGCCCAGTAAATATGATTAGTAATTAATTTATGAAATATTTTTGACAGTTTTACTATTTCAGTCACATTTCATTCGGGGATTAACAAATTATAATTGAATTGAAAATTATTCTTTTATTTTGTAACTTACTTATTTCCTAAAATAACTGGTTATAAACTTTGATAAAAGATATTTTATCCCTTAATTTACTGATTTTTATTAACTGATTTCTGTAATTTCTCTGTTTATTTTTATTAACATAAAGAATTTCAAACATTTTAAGGAGGTTGGTAAATTTAGGCGGATAAAAAGAAGCTACATATTAAACATATTATTAGGAATATCTCTAATTATTAAAATCAGTTTGATTAGAATAATAAAATATATATAGATGTGGTTTCATTTGTCATAATATTGCTATTGCATTAATATTGCTGTATTAAGAATTTAACTTTTTATTATCTGATATGATTCATATTTTGCATTTTTTTGAGTAATTAAAAATTAAAATAATTACAAAGTAATAGAGACAAACAATTAGAAAAGGAAAATCTATTGATTTGGGAAAATAGGTGCAGTTTGTGTTTTGAACCACTAGATGTCACTACATGTGCATCAGTAGTTAATCCCTCCATGATTTAGTCTCTAAGAAACTCTAAGATCTATTATTCAATTTTATATTGAAACCTGTAATTCCACTGATAACTTTAAGATCTGCCTCCTGTTCTACTGTAAACCTGCAGGTTAAGAGCAAAGTTCTCCGTTATGAACAGAATGAATTTTGGACCCAATCAGACTCCATCTTGTTTCTGCTCTCCGTTAGAACCGCTCCCTGAAGCTTTTGCTCCCAGTTGTTTGGCGTTTTTCTCCTGGTCGCTCCATCATCACATTCTGCTCTTCCAGGTCGACCTCGGCCCCCAAAGGACTCCCCCTCCAAGGAGGAAGAAGAGGACTTTGAGAAGCCCACCATGTCCTTTGAGTCCTTCCTTACGTACGACGCTCCAAATCCCGTCAAGAAGAAGAAGAAGCCGTCGTTGCCGCCCTCGTCGTCGCACAGCAAACCATCTCAGTCGTCCTCTGGTTCGTCTTCGCGCCAGAGCAGAGCAGCCTCCTCCTCTGCCTCCTCGTCCAAAGTGAGCAAAGCCAACGGATCTCAGAGCTCCAAAAGGACTCATTCAGACTCCAGGTCTTCGGCGTCTGAACCCAAACCAGAGAAACGCAGACGGGTGAGTAGATGTTCCTCAGCGTCCTGTTCGTTAGATGAAAGCTTCTTCTTCTTCTGCTGTCGATGTAAAAGTTCTTCTTCCTCCTGCTTCAGGTCGTCGAGTCTCTTCCGACTCTCCCTGAAATCCCGCTCCCGGCCATCCAGCCCAACTACAGACCGCTGCCCTCCATCGACACGCCGCTGTCCCCTCAGAGGCGCAAAGGTCAGAACGCACACCTCCATTATTATAATAACCTCTATAAGAATATTAATGTAATAAATCTCTTCTTTAACAGCAAAAACAAAAAAATCCAAACATCTTTAATAAATTAGCCGACATTCAAAAGCAAATTTGATTTAATCTCTCAATAACTCTTAATTTCCTGAACTGTTCTGAAAGAAATCAGTTAAAAAAAAAAAAAAAAAAAAAGGATAAAGGTAAAAAAACAAACAAAAAATACAATTTTTGATGTCTATATTTATATTTATAGAACTGTAAGTTTACAGATTTCAGCAGCAACACTTTGAACCTCTCTTAAATCTTTCTTTTAAATGGATTTGCGATATATCGGCATTATTATCGGTATCGGCTTATATTGGTTATTTCTAAGCACATCGGTCCGAAAATTATGCTTATTTCCGTGTACCGGTAGTTCTTCTTTTTTTTTCAGGAAGAGGTTGCTCATGTGGTTTTTTTTAGTCATGTGACGTGATTCTCATGCCACAAAGGATTGTGGGAGGTTAACTGAGTCAGTGGAGTGATTTTTGCCCTGTAGTGGTTTATTTTATGGTGTTCTGTTAGGTTTATTCCTCATTAGTCATGTATATTACTTATCTGGGAAGCAGATTACATAGAGTGCATGGCCTTCCTTCATCACTCCTTTATCTAATTAGGACAGACCTTCTGTCCGAACAATAAGCACAGGATAACGATACATCCCGGGGCCAGATTGATAAATTCGAGCACGTCTATAATCCTGATGCAGCAGGGAAAGAGGTCAGGGTTTTTATAGCATGTCAGGAACTGACCTGCTCAGCTAAGCATCCACCTGCTGCAACACTTAGACTCATGAGGAATAAGAAGCAGGAGATGAAATGGTTCTGGGCTCATTTTCAGGATCGCATCCTGGCGAATTTATTCAATTCAGTTTATTTCTATAGCACCAATTCACATCATGTCATCTCAGGTCACTTTCCAGTTCACCAGATCATCCAGTAAGATTGATTCAAAGTTTTCCATCTTGACTCTTCAGCAATCCCTCACACTAAGCATGCTTGTAGCGACAGTGGAGAGGAAAAACTCCCTTTGAACAGGAAGAAACCTCCAGCAGAACCAGGCGCAGTGTGAGCGGCCATCTGCTGAGGCCCACTGGGGTTCAAGGAGACAGAAGCAGAGATACTAAAAGCAGCTGTAAAAGGCGGCCCCGTCCAGGAAACACAGCCAGGCAGACGAGCTCCGAGCCAGCTCCCATGTCAGTGGATGAAGAGAGCACATCCAGTTAGTCACGGTCAGAGAAACAGGACTACACTGGAAAACAGGCCAAGCTCCAACATCTAGAAACAAAGGTGTTGATGGCAGCAGCACAGCTGATATTTCTCTCCAGGATGGAGTCACAGCCAAACAGGAACAGACCAGATGAAGCTACTATGAGAAAAAGCAGAGAGAGCAGAACGTTAGAGATTGAACTAACAGATTCTGCAGAGTGGGAGAATAGAGATAGAATGAAGCAGAATGATGAAAAAGGGGTCCCTATGTCCTCCAGCAGTCTAAGCCTATAGCAGCAGAACTATAGAGATAGCTCAGGATAACCTGAGCCACTCTAACTAGAAGCTTTATCAAAAAGGAAAGTTTTAAGCCTAGCCTTAAAAGTAGACAGGGTGTCTGCCTCACGGACTAAAACTGGTAGTTGGTTCCACAGCTGCACCAACTCGCTGCAGTTTCTCTGTTCTGAACCAATCAGATCTGGAATAAATTCTGTTAAAAGTTTTGGCAGAAAAATACCATTTCCTCCTACCTCACTGCCAACTAAAACCTTTGTGCAACAAACATACTTCAACTTATTCAGTCCAAATGTGCTTGAGTTATAGTCAGGATGTGGATCTATAAAGTCTAAGGGTTCATCCAGAGTTTCAAATGGGGTTTCATGGTGTTTTTTAGTGTTTATTTTGGAAAAAAAAATTGTCCAGGCTAAATATTTATTTTTTTTCTTTGTTTAATCACCTATAAATCAGACATGGTGAAATTTGAAATAGTGGTTCCACCTGAAAAACATTCCTCAATGCCTTTCTGTCACATAAATACAAACAATTATTTTTCCAATTCATATATTGGAAGCTGTGCTTTAATTCACATATCTAACTTCATTTGCCCTCTGAGCTTTAGGGAGGTTTTGGCCTCCCAGAAAGTCTGATCTTCAGTCTGTTAAAGGTTTTGCTGGAGCTTCACTTTTTGGGCTTGTAAGATGAGTGTAAAAAAACAGTCAGCACACAAAAAAAAACAACCTGCAGAAGCAAAATGCTTCCTCAGCTGCAGGTTTCTTTTCGGTTTCCTGCCCTTTGCTGCTTCAGGTTCTGCTTTGTTTTCTGATCCGGTAGTTTGAGACTCCAGGAAGCTTCGTGTTTAAACTCGTCTCATAGCTTCGGCGTTTTATGTTGGTCCAATTTCAGCGTCATCAGCTCCGCTCTGATCCATGATGTCTGGTCTTTTTTTAAATTTGTTCTCTAGTTCCTGTTTTTAATGACGAGGAGGACGCAGGCTTCACCGGGAAACGCTTCAACTCCAAGATGTCGGTCTATTCGGGGTCGAAGACGTCCTACCTGCCCAGGATGATGACGCTGTACGAGCAGTGCATCCGGGTTCTGCAGAACAACATTGACTGTGAGTCTTTGACTGGTCGCTCTAAATCGAAGCTCGCCGATGCTGCAGGTTGTGTGACGGCTCGGTGTCTCTGCTCTAACCAGCCATCGCAGAAGTGGGCGGAGTCCCGTTTGAGATCCTGGAGCCGGTCCTGAAGAGATGCACTCCGGAGCAGCTGTACCGGATTGAGGAAAGCAACCAGGTTTGTCTTAACTTTAAACCCGTGTTTCAGTGTTGAACCATCAAAGCTCAGGATGGGATCAGGAATGTTTTCCCTCTCCTCCTGGTTCAGTGCTTCACGGAGGATTCAGACGAGCTCTGGAAGAGTCACTGCCAGCGGGACTTCAAACGGGAATCTCCTCAGGAGTTCGAGTCGTGGAGGGAGATGTACCTGCGGCTGCACGACGAGCGAGAAGAGCGGCTGAAGCTGCTCACCCAGAACATCAGCTCCGCCCACGCCAACAAGCCCAAAGGTAGGCAGAGCCTCACCCGATCCATCGCTGCGATTTACGAAAGCAGACGTGAACTGAGATTGGGAGCGCTGTGTCCTTTCAGGGCGGCAGGTGAAGATGGCGTTTGTCAACTCGGTGGCCAAGCCGCCGCGGGACGTTCGCCGCCGGCAGGAGAAGTTCGGTACCTCCAGCGGTTCCACCACGGCCTCCACTGCAGCTGCTTCTCCCATCAAGTGAGCGCTTTGATGACATCATCACTTTCCTCCTATAGATCCAGTTCCTGCCTTCAATGAGAGAAATCCAGACCAGTTGGCGGTTCTGACTTCAAATATTCCATTCCTGTGTTTTGGGATTTGAGAATCAAACATGGTCCTTTATCCTTAAAAAGCACCTAGATTGGCCATTAGAAGCAGCCAATTAGATGACAGCTTTTATTAAATCAACAAATATTGATTTAATTAAAGCTCTCCTTAGCCTGGGAGATCAAAGCTTCAGATCAGAACTGTATTTATCTTCATTCACCTTCATCCAAAACATAAGAAACCCCACATGATAGAATGAAGCAGAATGATGAAAAAGGGGTCCCTATGTCCTCCAGCAGTCTAAGCCTATAGCAGCAGAACTATAGAGATAG